AGCGTGAAACTCGCGAGTTGCTCGGAGGTAAATAGCAAAGGATATTCAGAGTTTGAGTAGCCAGTCAGAGCACACCTTCAACGCTGTCCACTGCTTTAGTATATACTAATGACCTTTAACTTGTCGAAACCTTGTCGAAAACCATTGCATTAATTCTTGACATGGTTTCATCGTTTCAGAAGTTTCAAGTGAGAATGACTGTGACGAACAAGCGAAGGAAACAAGATGCACTTGCGGTAAAAACAAGAAAAATAAGTCAGTTTCAGACATTTTCTGTGTTTCTGGTAAATGCCCGTGCCACAAAGTGAACCACTCTTGTACCCGCTCGTGTAGATGTTACAATTGCAAAAATACGTGCAATTCCACTGAAGTTGTGAAGGTAACAAAGAGTCTGAAGAGAGGCTGTAGGTGCGGAGTTGGACAAAAGAGCAAAGGGGACGGAGAACCAAATGCAAGTCACAAGTCGTGTCAAGACAGTCTCCGCAAGTCGAAGTGTCCGTGTGTAGCGGGCGGCATAGGATGCACCGAAGTCTGCAGATGCTTTAATTGTGGAAACATTGTTCAAGCTCGAGCTGACCCGGGAAAATCCCCAAAACGAAAGAAGCGAAATAGGGCGACCGTCTCTCCATATAAGAGGAAAAAGGGATCAAAGTTCATGATAAGTCAAAATGCAGAGGTGGATTGTGGACCATGGAGAAACATTGAAACGCTTTGTTTGATGGTTTGCCGGGACGTGATGCTAAGTCAAGGACTTTCCATAAATTCAAAAAATTTGCGTGATTTGTATGATTTCGTGGCTAAGTCTCCTGCTGTTATGGAAATGTCTTTAAACATAGCTGCGAAGTCTACAGCACAGATTGCGGCTAAAATAGCGCATCTAAGAGGCATTGATTTGTAAAATATACATAAGGTAGGGCTATCCTGTCCAGTGAAAGTTTTGAAGGCTTCACTTCTGCTACCTTTTAATTCCGCTCTTAATGATAAAAGAATGTTCTTCAAAAAGTTCAAAAAGTTACCCGTTAGATCTCATGTCCAATCAGACTTTTGAGCTTTCTCTTTAATGGATGAAAAACGCGAGAAAAGATGACTAGTGATTCACGATTTCTTATTCACACTGTATTAGGCCACAGAGAAATTACTAAGTAAATACAGCTTTGTGTCAAAACTGAGTGATTACCTAGATTTTGTACGACTATTTTTGTTCTTTTGTATCTTGTTATTATAACAAAAGATTCACGGTGTGCATTTCATGTTTATGTTGGAAAAGGTGTAACTAATCGTACGCGAACTCGTTCATATTGGATTGCTGCAGAATAAGTACAACTTGTTACATGTTTAACTGACCACAATAGTTTTTTTAATTACTCGTATACCAATGATAGTTCTGCATTCCCTCATTAACGGCATTCTCTCTTTCACTCTTTGTAAAAGTGTGTTATCAAAGAAATAAACACGTGATAAAGGCAATTTGTGAAATTCGAAAGAACAGGTACGTGGTTTCACAAACTTTATTTCTCACGGCCGTAGTAGACTAAGCAACTCCTTTAATTTAAAAACACCAATCTGTGAAACGAGCCCCTTTCAGGCCTCCTACTTAAATGGCATTGTGAAACTTTGGAATTACTCTTGTTCTATTGCTCCTTCTTCTAGTTTTTCGCGTCCGCTCTCCTTCCAGCTTTTCGTCAAGCAAACACTTTTTGACTGCCTGAGACATTGACATTGACTAGCCCTGCACGTAGACACTAGTTAGAACTTGCTCGTGCTACAAGCTAGAGGTGTAGTTAGTACTATGTTATAAACCAAATAAAGTTGTTAAAAAAGTTGTTAATTCAAATGGCAGGAATTGAAGCAAATGCATACATCAAGGTGAATATGATTAAATAAGCACTTATAAAAGAATATCAAGTCTTTCAGTTCTC